CGTCATTTCAATAAACTTTTGGATATAAAACTGTTATCAAATATAAAATGTGTTAACTAATTGAAAGTTTGAAGATAAGAATGACAAGAAAAATCATAAGTGTTATAATGAACAAATATTAAAAACCTTAAATGCAACTAAAATGTGGTATAAGAAATAAAAATGGTGGTGTAAACATAATTATCCTATTGTTAACATGATTGATCTTCTGCACGTAGCGAATATGAGATATCTCGTCTGCTAGTGAGATTTTGTCTCCCCACCAATGGGCAATAGATATCTTGTCTACTATATGCTAAAGATCAATCATGTTAATGTCTTAAAATTAGATCAGACGCTAGCACAAAAGAAATAAATAAGAAAATGGTAGGTTTAAGGGCTTTGCGGGTGTACTAACAAATTCATAACATATTTTAACGAATACTATATTTGTAGCTTTTAATTCATATTCATCTTTGGATTTTTTCGTTTGAGCCGAACAATAAGATCTGATTCTTATAATGGTAGCTAACACATCATTTCATTTTTGTTGACCACCGATCTCCGTGCTCACTTAAAATGTAGTCACACCTATCTCGTGTACACCAGAGGTCGGGTTTAAAAGCTCAACTCGGTCTTGTGATCATTGTAATTTCAAGAAATATAATGATTACAGATTCCTTACACATTGTTAAATTACTCATTCACTCAAACACATTTGGAAGAAATGACGTCAGCACCACCAAATCGACCAATTATCTACTATAACTACTTATCCTGAAACAGGTCATGATTTCTTCATTAAAGGGGGTATTGTTATGATTTGACGGGAGCCAATCAAGAGAGAGACTGACAGCGCACAAATCAAGCTAGCACTATATTTGATCTGATTGACAAGATATAATTCTAAGAAAATTAAGCCTAATTCCCTCTATAAATAGAAAGAGGTGGTCCCCTCTTAGGGACAAGTAGGATCGAAGCGATTTACTCCCACAAATATGTACTTGTAACCCTTGTTATCAATAGACAAAAGTGTCATTTGTTCTTAAAATTGGCTCAAACCCACACTCAACAATTTTTGACGTCAACAATGTTAAATAGTAATATATGTATTAGGCCACTTATTTTACATACCAATAAAGTGTTATAGTCAAAATCAATTTTTTGAAGCATCAATAAATATTTTCACAAAAATGGTGTCTCGTGATTAAAAAACATATTTTTTTTTCTCAAATAAATTTTATATATTTGAATTTTGAGCCAAGTAGTGATAAGGCAACAAAATGTGTGGGTCCTGAAAATGGATGTGTCATATCCTCTTGATAACTCGTTTTTCCTGGGCAGTAACCCCACAAAAGGCTCAGCTCAAATAACCGTTTCGAATTGTTTGGACCCATACGAGGAATTAAGATTTAGAGCATATTTGGTACAGTTTAAAATTCAATTAAAATCAATTTTTTGACCGTTATTTCAGTCGTCATTTTTGAATTCTTCTCTTATGGGTAGGACACATTTTATCTCTAACGATCAAGAAATCAATTAACAAAATTCCTACCAAACAAACACTTAAACTAACCAACCATTTTGCAACACGTATTTCAATATTACTCAATTGGAAATAGAGCAACTCTACACGAACAGAAAAATACTTACTAGAATTGCACCAGAAGCCAAGAGTCAGCAATTTGACGGAAAATGGTTAAAAAATAAAAAAAAAATAGACAGGAAAGCAGATTTTACCGCACCTACATTTTGTAGCAGTTCTGTGAAACTTCTCCTGTACAAACAGTTTAAACCTTTGAAATATTCCTTTTGGTTAGAGAGTCATTCTTGAACAATTTAACTCGTTACCCAAAATTCCATGATATGACAAAGTACTTTTTCGTAGTATACAAATTACACGAAAAAACTGAGAACAGTTCTACTCACTTGAAATGATCTTTTTCAAGAATTTTGCATCAACTCTTTATAAATATAAAATTGAAATGAATTATGAACGCTAAAACTCCATAATCTATAACCATTCCATTACAATTTACAATAAAAAGAATTTAAAATTTGGCATAAATAAAAAATAAAAGAATTTGAAAATGAAACCGAAATTGTAACCTCCCTAAATTCCGCTAAAATGCCTTATGATCTTCCTACTGGACCGGTTTTGGAGTCACCGGTTCACAATTAAACCGTCTCTAGAACTCAGAAACTAGTAACCATTGGAGTCAAACCCGGTTCGACAAGGTCGGATATCTCTTTCTTCTGCCGCATTTGCAAAACTTTCCGGTGGCTATTCGAGTGAATATCTCGAGAGAAGGTGGGACTACAAGCCGGTCTGTACTCGGGTAAAAGCCGGCCGGACTTATACCTAACACCACAAGCGTTGCATAATGTTTTCGGACCCAACGGTCCGGCTCGCCATTGTGGGGTCTTCTGAACATGACAATGTGTACACCGACGAACCGTCTGAGAGAATGAACAAGTTTCAGCAGCCGGTTTTATCTTCCGCTTCTTCGTCGGCGGGTTTTCAACGCTGGAAAAACTGTCTCTGTCTGTGTCCTGAACCGGGTCTGCTGAATGGCCAAAAGATGAAGATGTTATACTTACCGACGGTGACGTCAGAGGCCAAGCTCTACCATTTGTTCTGGACCGTTTGCTCCTAGTTTTTCCCGGAACCGTCACCGGAAACCATGGAGCCTTCGTTTCCTGGTCAAGCATTTCTCTGGTTTTCTCTCTTAAACTCCCAGCGGGACATAAGAAAGAATGCCCTGATATAGAGTCGTCCACGAATTGAGATAACCACTCTAGGTTCTCTGATTCTTCAACCTGTAAAATTTGAAAATATGGGTTCTTTTTATTTAAGCGAAAAGAAAAAGCAAAGCCACCAAAGATTTATCTCGAATGTTACCGGAACTGAAAGTTCGCCGGCGAGGAGATTATCAAACTCGGCAGCGCCGGAAAAATGGGACAAGGAATTGGAGTGACTGTGTTGAGAAGAAAGCTTTGAAACAGAAACTTCTTCTTCTTGAAAAAACGGCTCTTCTGGTTGAAAATCAAGATTAAGAAGTTCCTCAACGGGAAAATCGTCACCAGGGCCGCCGTTAATTCCGGCGAGACACCACCCATCATCATTAAGAAGCACTTGTGAATTCGTTTTCATTTCCATTCGTGAGAGGAAACTCGATTTCAATGCTTTTGATTCAATGCTGCAGTAATCCATTACAGAAACTAATTCACAATCAAATTCCTCACTCCTTTCTACTCTTGCTTGTGTAGGCAAAAAGTGAAATTTTCACACAGAACACACAGTGATTTTGAAGATGAAAAGAGGGATATAAGGATATGGGTAAAGCACCAACTGTGGGCTAGTTCTTGCAGAGGAAATGCCGGTTTGTTGATGGTTTTTTTCTTTATTATCTGTACTTTCTCTCTTCTTCTACGCGTATTTAACCATTTATATATTAAAATAAAAAAATAGTATAGTTATTTGTGAGAAAATTACATGATTAATCCTCGGTCTATTGTATACATTGCAAATTGATCTCGTTACCTTTAAAAGACCAATTTGGTCCATATCCTTTGGTTGACAATTGTCATGCAACCACGTTAAGTTCAATTTTATTTCTCATATGGCTAGTTTCCAAAATTTTGAAGTGAGACATGTCTATGAGAATCACGACAGTGTAAACAGGTTATAGTAGGCCAATGAGACATGTCTTTGAGAATCATATAGGGGCGTTAATGGGTATCTCAATGCTCTAATCACGTATTATTAAATTTTTATAAGAAATTCAAAATTTATTATTATTATTATTATTTTTTGGAAAAAAATCGATGTTTTATAGAGGACAAGCAAATGCATACATTTATGGAGGAGCGTTTGCATTAAGTATGGAGGTATTTTGAAAATTAGCTAACGGCTTTACGTTAGCTCTGTACAACACAGGGCTCTTGACAAGCTGAATTCATAAGCTTGTGTAAGAGAGTTTCCTAGCCCAATCTAAACCCATTGGGTCACATGAAGATTTGAGCGCTTTGTTTGATATAATTAAATTTCGTTGACCAATTTTTTCTTTTGTAAAGGTTAGAGTTTAATTTTCTACTCGAACAATAGCTTAAGTACCAAAACTGCAATTTCTCATTTCATGACATTGTATTATTGGAGGGTGTTACGTGTGGCAAATTAACTGGTTTGATTGTGATGAAACCGAGTGAGAGGATGACATTTCTTAGTTGCATGGAATTGACATGGGAAAGTGTCGGCATTTCAACAATATTTGTGCTATCGTTTGACCACTTCAGTTTTACCAAAAATAAAATTAAGGTTTTGGCCCTTTCGGGTTATTTCCCATGTGGTCAAAATAGAAAGGTTATTCTAGAATCAGTGAATCACTCCCTTATTTTCACAATCTTCATTGACACGTTCTTATTTAAATATTAAAAAAGTTTAATTATGATAATCACTAAAGTTTTGAGTTATTTTCATATTAGTCATTTGAAATTTATTGGCCACACTATGTTTAAGTCCAAACATTATCTGATTCTAGAATAACCTTGCAATTTTTAAGTCCAAACATTATGTTTTCTCATTAGTAAATGACTGAAAATTAAATTTTTAGTAGGTTTTGATAAACATTTAATGAAATATATGATTGAAAAGTTGATGAAATTTGCGATTTTCATAAAATTTATGGATAAAAATGAGCTTGAAAAAATATAATTTTTGAAAATTTGGGGGGCCAGGGCTAAATATGTTTAATTTTCAATTCCTAACTACTCAGTTTTGTCGACTTGGTACTGTTAAAAACTATAATGACTATAAAAATAAGAAAATAACTTTAGTAACCATTAATATAATAATTCAAAATTTCAGTGATTGTTAGTGTAATTAATTCATATAAAAGAGGCTTATTAGGAAGCAAGAATAGGAAAAGTACAATTTCGAGCACAACGCGTATAGCCGATTTTGAAATGTCGGGATATTAACTGTCAATTTAAAAATTGGAGATTGGTCATTATTTCGGTATTTTACCGATGTGGGATTATATTCCCTTAACATGCCCCCGCAAGATGGTGGCTCGGTTGAGCAGACCAATTTTGAAATTCGTGTGCTCATTTTTCTCGTGTGTACAAAGAAGGATAAAATTAAACAGATTTTGACGCAAAAAATCTCGAATATTTGCAGGTTTGCATATATTATTTGGTTCTTCGGGCACTTAACACTGTCGGTATGCTGTAAAATCTACTAGTTGCTTTAATGCCATGTTTCAATTGCGTTAAATTAATCCATAATGCCACGGTTCCTAGTAGCTATCAAAATGAGTTAGCAAGTGTATACAAATGTCACGGCATTGCGAAGATCGCCATCGAGCTGTTGAATGCCGAATTAGAAGCTTCTGGAGAGGCTGTTAAGCATAGTGTAGCAAAATGCCCAGTGCGGCTCCTCTGGAATCTGTTTCTTCGCACGCCTCACCGCAATTTTTGATGTGTTCCAGCCGTATATTAATCAAGTTTCTTCCAACTTCTTCCAGCCGAAATTGTTGAATTTCATTTCTTAATGTAGAAGAATCCACATGCATGGATGGAGAAGAAAATTTGAATTAAAACTCTCTACCTTTTGACGGCCACAACTTCAATTGTTTAATGGAGAAGAAACATCTATGCAAAAAGACAATTTGAAATGAAATTCTCTAACCGCAATTCTTGATTGGTTTTTGGCCACAAGTTTATGACGGTTTGTTGCCAAAAACTTTATATAAATATGAGCTATCATAAAGGGAATTAGAGGTCCCTTGAGAGGAAAAAAAATAGGATAGAGAAGAGAGAGATTAGAGAGACTCTTTTGAGAGGTTTTTTTTTGAATTTGTAAACTTCGTTGTAAATTCTATTTAAGTAGAAATAGAATTATTTTTCCTCTTTTATTCTCTTCTCGTTATCGGAGAATCACAACAAGTGGTATCAGAGCCAGATTCATCAATTAACCCTCATAGTTTTTGATAAAGCTTTTGCAAGTCAAGATGTCAATGGAGGAATTTTCATCAAGAGCTATGATCAAGCTCACTGCCACCAATTACACACTGTGAAGGCCTCGGATGGAAGACCTCCTTAGTTGTAAGGATTTGTATGACCCCTTGGAAGCTAAAGGTGAAAATCCCGATCCTACCAAGGAGGCGGAGTGGAAGAAGCTAAATAGAAAAACTATCGGTCAAATTTGACAATGGATTGACCATAGTGTTTTTCACCATGTAGCACAGGAGACAGATGCATATACCCTCTGGAAGATTTTGGAGGACATGTACCAAGCCAAGACCGCTCGAAACAAAGCCCTGTTGATGAGGCTTTTGGTGAATCTGAAGTTAAAGAGTGGAGCTTCAGTTGCTTAGCATACCAGTGAATTTCAAAGCTTGGTAAACCAATTGTCATCTGTGGAGATGCCTTTTAGGGATGAAATACAAGCCTTACTACTTTTAAATTCTCTTTTTGATAGTTGGGAGACATTAGTAGTATCTCTTAGCAACTCAGCCCCTGATGGCAAACTTACCATGTCTATGGTTAAGGATGCCCTATTTAATGAAGGGGCCAGGAGAAAAGACGTAGACACGGACCAATCACATGCCCTTGTCACAGTGAATCGGGGAAGACAATAAGGAGGCGTTCGAGGCAGGGGGAGAGGCAGAAGCAAAAGTAGGGGTAGATCCATAGATGGAAGGAAGCCTACTTATAAGTGCTACTGTTGTGATATGGAGGGCCACTTGAAGAAGAACTGCAAAAAATTGCTACGAGAGCAAGGCCACAACAGTTCGCAGCCGAAAAATGAGGAAGGAGAGATTCTAGTCCCTATTTCTGGAGAGGTGGCTATCTGCTCCATCCATGAAGAGACATGTCTTCATGTCTCGAACCAAGATATTGAGTAGGTAATAGACACTGCAGCATCTTATCATGCCACTCCACGCAAAGATTTCTTCACAACATATAAAGCCGACGACTTTGGTGCAGTGAAGATGGGAAATACCAGTTCTTCTAAGATCATAGGAATTGGTGATATTCAGATACAAACGAACCTCGGGTGTAAAATAACCCTGAAGGACGTTCGACATGTACCTGATCTTCGGCTAAATCTACTTTCAGGGATAGCCCTTAACAAACAGGGTTATGTCAATCAATTTAGCAATGGCATTTGGAAAATGATGAAAGGTTCCATGGTTGTCGATCGAGGATATATATGTGGCACTTTATACAAGACTCATATTAAAATGCATGTGGATAGCCTCAACGTACTAGAACGTGAAGCTTCTCAAAATTTATGGCACCAAAGACTTGGTCACATGAGTAAGAATGGATTGTCTACTTTGATAAAGAAGGAGCTAATCACAGTTGCCAAGGAAGCTGCGCTGGATCCTTGCAATCACTGTCTATTTGGTAAGCAACATAGAGTCTCCTTCAATTTCTCTTCTACGAGACGATCAGAGTTGCTCAATCTAGTACACTCTGATGTTTATGGTCCCTTGGAGGTTGAATCACTAGGCGGTAACAGCGGTAACAAGTATTTTTTAACATTCATTGATGACGCTTCTAGAAAGGTGTGGGTATATTTCTTGAAGATGAAGGACCAAGTATTGGATAACTTCAAATCATTTCATGCCATGGTAGAGCGTGAAATAGGAAAGAAGCTGAAATGTCTCCGTACAGATAATGGAGGCGAGTATACTTCCAAAAAGTTTGATGCCTATTGCAAGACATACGACATTCAACATGAGAAGACGGTCTCACGTACCCCACAACATAATGGAGTCACCGAGAGGATGAATCGGACGATCATGGAAAAGGTCAGAAGCATGATAAGTATGGCTAAGCTGCCAAAGCCATTTTGGGGAGAAGCTGTTCGAACCGCCTGCTACTTGATCAACAGATCACCATCAGTACAGTTGAATTTTGAAATTTCGGAGAAAGTATGGTCTGGTAAATATCCTTCCTACTCTCACCTGAGAATATTTAGCTGTTTAGTCTTTGCACATGTATCCAAGGAGTTAAGACAAAAGCTAGATGCAAGGATCACTCCATACATCTTTATAGGCTATGGAGATGAGGAATTTGGATACAGATTATGGGACTCAAAGACAAAGAAGGTCATTAGAAGCAAGGACGTAGTGTTCCATGAAAACCAAACATTAGAAGACATTGAAAAGCCCACAATATCTCCTAATTCTAATTTTGGTGCCCCAAATATTGCTCCAAATCCGACACCACCACAATTCACCATAGATAACGACAATGTGCATGAGGAAATGCCAGAAACAGAACAGGAGGATGAAGAAGGAGATATTGATCAGGGAGAGTCACAATCCTCTTCACCAGAAGTTGTTGGACCATCATGTCAGTCAGATGATGATACACTTCCTGAAATCAACGATCCAAAGGTA